AACTGAATTTTATTGAAGGTGCTACGAGCGTTTTTATACTGAGCACAAGACCAGGGCTCATCTGCAACAACACATGTGTGACCATGACAAAATAATTTTAACCGAGAAAAGAATACTCTTTTTCGGAAAAGATAAGTGAAGGTGTACTGATGCATTGATCCTTGGCCTTCCTGATAAAGAGTTCTAAAATCTCTCATTTTTCTGCTTGCTTTTTTTTTAAAAACCGTGTTTTATGAAACCTAGGACTACACTTACATTCTTTACGGTGTCCGGCCATGAGACTACTATAGCCCTTCTTAACATTTGAAGCATGCTGTCTTGCTTGATCATTGAAGCATTGCCCAGTTTGTCCTATGTTTACTTTTCCACGTGTTAGCGGTATCTCATACACATTAGATTGGCATTCAGTAAACCTATTCTAGTGACGAATGGTGCAAGATTGACTATTCCTGTTGCTGTAAGTACATGCACTTTTGAAAGCTTGCAAGGGGTGGAAAACAACAATGTCATATCTGCTGGCTCTTTTCCTAAAATTGTGAGACACCTTATGTACGTAGTACCATGTGACATGCAAAGGTGATTGGTTATTCTCTTTTTCTTTTGGTCCTGTTTCCTTTACTTTCTGCAGGAGGGTTTCGCAAACAAGTGTGATGATGCTGTTGGGGTATTGGCTGGTGCTATCAGCCCAGGAGTGCTAAGAATGTTCTGCCTTTTGATAGTGGGCATTCAAAATTAATAGAAAGAGGAATTGATACCACATGTATTCAGGCCACCCTTCAGAAGTCATGTTAGCACAAGGGTGAGGTCAGGCTTAAAAACCAGATTAAAAGACTAAAAGATGCTGGGTATCCCAACAGAATCTTCACACCTGTTTGCAAAACCCTTCTGCAGAAAGTAAAGTTAAAGAAGACAGGACCAACAAAAAACAATGACCAAAACCTTTGCATGTTATACCACATCACGTGTCTCACAACTAGAAAAATAGCCAGCAGATATGATATTAGCGTGTTCTTTTCCACCCCTTGCAAGCTTTCAAAAGTGTGTGTACTAAACAGCAACAGGAATAGTCAATCTTGCCCCATTCGTCACTAGAATAGGTTTACTTAATGCCAATTTAACGTTTGTAGAAATATTTTTTATCAGGTGAACCAATGATCAGTGCATCACTACACGTTCACTTATCCTTTCCGAGAGGGAGTATTCTTTTCACAGTTAAAGTTATTTTGTAGTGCTCACACGTGTCGTCGCGCATGAACACGGTTCTTGTACTCCGTATAAAAGCGCTCGTAGCACATTCATTAAATTCAGTTGACAGTCTGTGCTCTTTCCTGTCCTTTCTGTCTCTTCCTAAAGTTGTCGCGCTGTGACTAGCACACAACCACGATGAACCAACTCTCCCAAATTAAGCTCTTGTTACGTAACACGTAGACGGAGTTTCGTATGGAAAGAAGGAGCGGTGCTTTTAAAATAAAATTTTTCACATACAACACCTAGACGGCATTCCAGAAAGTTCAGAAGGCAGCCACGTGACCAAATATTTTTCCTCTCCTAAATATTCCAGAAGTTCACTATTTTTAATGCAGCACGAGTTTTTCGAATACATTTGAGATGGTTGCCAAAATGGCTGGGACATTTGGCATAAAGTGACCCAGCTGTGTCATTAGCCATAATTATGCATTACCTCTTTTGTTTTTTGTGTGTCCTGACTCAGTTTTGTGTTCGTTTTTAGCATATTGTGTTTCTGATCATTGTATTGGTTTCTTAAGTATTCGCTAAAGTTATATGTGCGAAAACCCGTATATGATTGCATGTACATCATTTCTCATAACCAATTGTTATACATCCAGGAATACAAAGCTTAAACCACTGTGATTGTATACATTTGAAAACACTATCCATATATATTTTTGTATGCATCACTTCTTGGGAACGATTGTGTACATGAAGGCGTATATAGTGAAATCATGGTGATTGTATATATTTGAAAAAATCATAAGTATATATTTGCCTGTATTTCATTCCTATTAACCGATTGTGTACACGAAGGAGTATTAAACTGGAAACCACTGGGATTGTAGATACCTGAAAGAATTATAGGGATATATTAGCATGTATTTCATTTGTAGTCTCTATGTACTTGAAGCAGTATACTAAACTGAAACCAGTGTAATTGTATGTTGCAAAGAATTGTCAATAAAGTGAAACTGAAAAAATATAATAAACATTTGAGGTGTTGCATGTGTAGTGTACGTATACATGAACGTATATCTGGTGAAAAAGTTGTGTGGCAGAAGAAAAGTTTATGTTTTATTTGCCTATTAAATAAACGCAATATGCAAGGGCAGCAAGGCTTCATTTTCTGTAACGCACATTATGCATATACACTGAAGTATATATAGATCCAGCACAAGTTCATACACGATTGTACGCGTTTATATTTTTGCCCACACGCAATGAATGTAGCTCGACAGGTGGTGCACCATCGATAAACAGGACCACTTTCTTCAAGTAGTGTTTAATCAGTGCATGCTGATATCTATTGGTGGCAGTAGTCGCCACCCCTGCCATGGGCACTCAGCACCCTTGTGCACCCTTCTCGCACCCTCCTCAGAGGGTGCTAAAAAAGTGATGAACATCGAAGGCACCCTTTCTTAAGGGTGTTTTTTTAACACCCTACAGTTTTTTTACATGTACACCCTATTCTAAGGGTGCATGGTAAAGCACCCTTTTTGGAAGGTGCTGAATTAACACCCTTAGGGTGTCGTCCACGGGACAAGCTCATTTACACCCTTCTGGGTGTAAAAATTTTTACTGTGTGGTATGAAATATATGGTCCTGGTACAAGTTAAAATTTTGGGTGGATACGCATTCTATTGAAGCGTACGTGCAGTAACGGTAAGGAGGAAAGAAGTTATGGAATAATTGAGAAAAGTAAGTTGAACTTTTTGATTGGAAGAACTAACGGTTTTTTGTGAACAACAAGGGAATAGTTGCGGCACCTGGCGAGACAAATGTCAACTACGTGTCTTTGTTTACGTAGCCTCACAGATTTGTTTTGGCAATGTCAGAAATCACGAAGGTAATACATGCAATACGACAGGACACAAACCCCGAGGTGCCAGCGTCACCACTAGACAGATGGTAAAGCTAACGACCAAGAATGCCTTGCGAAGGCAAGGAATCCTTCACCTTCGGCAAAATAGCTGGAGCTCACTCACGAAGTATATTCCAGCTTGGAGTTAACTCGAACTGAGCGCTCACCAACGTTTTCGTCAACTAGACTCACTCAGACTCCGAATCACTAAAATGTTCTTGAAACAAGCTCACCAAAATATCACTATACTGGACACAATGAGACTAAAACGCATCACTTTATCTGAGACCAAGCACACGAACGCCGACCTGTGAGTGGCACCAACAGACAGCTAGCTAAGTCGACGAACAGCAAGCACTTCCTTACTGAACAATAGGATGGCGAAAAAAGTCTAGCTTACTCAGGCTCATTGCTCACTCAGACAAATCACTCGGAATTACAAACATTTTCTTCAGCCGGAGGCAGTCACACTCAGGCTCACAAAAAATATTGCTCAAACAAACTGACGCCGAGCCACACTCACCAAAATATCCCTCTCACCTGGACTCACCTAAAGTAAGATACATGGCGCTGTCTTAGGCGCGTATTCACAAACCAACCTCATCTTTTCCTCGAGTTTTTCCCATCCGTTTTAAACCTTGCTGCACTTAATGAACAAAGTAGGCCAGTATTCATGAACCCGCCTTACTCATATCTTTCACCCTGTTACCATTTTCGTGCGTTTATAACGCATGCAGAGAATACAGGAAGCTGAGGAAAATCTGAGGTAAGGCCGAGATTGGTTTGTGAATATGGGCCTTAGTCTGGGGGAGTCACCTCATGGGTGAGTTTGCTTACCTGTGCACTACAGTTACAAACGTGACTCAGCTGTTTCCCTTTTTCGAGTATATTGCCACATCATCGATTGGGTCATAATATTGGGGATATCACGATGTAGTTATAGGACTGTAGAAAACTCTTCATGTTCTTTCTTGAAAAGCAAATATTTTGTAGTAACGGCCGTGTCAGTGTTCGTGGGAATGTTTATTGAGAATATTTGCGTTGTTGAACATTCAGGACACTCGACAGATGTTGATACCAGTTTCATGCCAAGCTGTATGTATTTTATTTGAATAATTCTCACGCAACGGTGTCAAGTGCCTTCTTGAGGCTTTGAGTTGTCTGCTGAAGAATTACAGCATACGTTATCACGGACGCAGCCATCTGCAAAAAGTAGCAGGGTGAAAGTGTGCTTATTAGAGTAGTTTACACACCTCCGTTTATATAATTACCAATTATCTTGCAGTATCTAGCAAAATGGCTATTTGTCGACACTAGAAAAATTATTTCACAGATCAGATGGTTTGTCGTAGCTTAGGTGTAGGCAAATAACGTTTGTGACAGACGAATATATTTGTAACAAAGGCTGATATATGACATATATGATATGACACTGGACGGTCGGTGGCCGAGGCCGTCCAGCGGGCCGAGGCCACCGCAAGAGCTTAAGGGCTCGTGGCCGATACCTAGGCGGGGATATCTGCCCAACTCCCTGAACAACTCGCCGGCCATTTTTTTTTAAAATAAAGTTGTGTTTCTTCCTTTCTTCTCCATGATCGGACAGCCCACAGCTTGCTTCTTACTAGGGAGGGAACTCTCACTTATCCTAACACAAGTTTTTCATGTAACCACATTTTTCCTCTTTTACTTGTTTCAAGTGCTTGATCTGTCTCTTAATACACTGCATACTTGTTTTCTTCGTATATGAACTCGCTTTGTGTCAGTTTATGATAAATAAAGATGTTGTATCTGAATTTATTTTCTTTGGCTATCTTGGGTTATTTTTGAGTTACGTTTGGCTATTTTTTGGGCTACTAGTGGGCCAGAACTTGGCGGGTTGCTCTTCTAGCACCTGGCAACCCTGCCGACAATTCGTGTCGTACAAGCGGTTGTCGCGCTTTCTAGTACACTGTAGTCGCGCATCGTACCTTGATTTTGTGAAGACTGCTCGCTTTTTTCCTTCATGCGGCTCCCTAACGGCGCGTTGCGTACCAGCATCTTCTTTCCCTGCACTCCGCAACTTGTTTTGCTTCTTAAAGGCCCTACTTCCAGTGTGCCTCAACGATGAGGTAAGTCGCGCCCACTTGGCGCGAAACGGGAGTTGCCTGAAGGCGGGCGTTTCAGCTTGTGTGTTTGGTCCACTGTTGCAGTGGAGTACGCAGTAACTTGTGTAAGGTACCATGGTATTCAGTAACATCACCAATCCTGAAATTTAGCGCCTAACCACTGAGTTTCGTAGGGGTGCTCTGATGAGTGGCTTGCTTAGCGTAATCGCCTTGTCTAGAGGTAGGTATGTCGGGCGCGTATCCCCGTAACCAGTAGTCTAAAGATGCGTCGGCCGTCGCGCTTTCTCGCGGGCCTGCACTCAAGTGCCTCCAAATTCGACCAGCCCGTCCTGCCCGTCCGTCGTTTGTTCCCACGATTGACCTAGTGGACCGTGGAAGCGCGTATCAGGGAGGCGAAAGATACGTTGGACGCTGCACCTTTTCACCTACTCAAGCTTGGTTATAGCGGATGTCTACCAACCTGGAAAACCTGTAAAAGTCAGGGAATTCGGACCCTTCTGAAAAAGTAATGGAATTTCTGAAAAACCTGGCCAGGTCGTGGAAACTGACTGCAGTTCTGTGTGACAGTCACAAAAATAAGCATTACCATTGATCGAAGCTTCGGAAGTCGCTCTTTCAACGGCATTTACAGTTAGGTGCTAATTGATTAATTGATATGGGCAGTTTAACGTCCCGAAACCACCATATCATTATGAGAGACGCCGTAGTGGAGGGCTCCGGAAATTTCGACCACCTGGGGTTCTTTAAAGTGCACCCAAAGCTGAGCACACGGGCCTTCAGCATTTTCGCCTTTATCGAAAATGCAGCGGCCGCTGCCGGCATTCGTTCCCGCGACCTGCGGGTCGGCAGCCGAGTACCTTAGCCACTAGACCACTGCAGTGGGGCACAGTGAGCTGCTAGAAGGCGTGTGAAAAAAAAAAAGTTCATAACTTTTACTTCTTAGTGTAAACAAGAAAGGATACACAAACCCATAGAACACAAAGTTTACTGACGTTTCAACACCCGGTAAGGGAAGGAGCCTTGTTCACAATGAAAGCCATAAGAAAGGCACAGCGTACTTCAGTACACCTTAATACGTGGCATAAGTAGCGAGAGTACATTGTCAGAAGCGTCCTATCAGTCCTGTTCACTCTATGTCCAGTCGTCTGTATCTGGATTCTAGGTTCAGGCATGATGCAAGCTTCTTTTAAGAGCAGAGCGTTTTATGTTTTCCACCCCTACTTCGCATGCTCACGTCTCGTGCCAACTGTTAATCTCCAATTATTTTTCAGCGTCACGTTCACAGAAGGGTACGTAGTTCAAGGTAACAGTGCCAACATTCGTGACTGATCTGTGGAATCAAGGAAGCTGTTGCACCTTGACAGATTCCTTCTTGCCACCATATATTCATATGTCGGCACTTTAAACGCTGTCCCCAGATTTCGTTATAGCCGTCTGAGAGCTTTCGCTTCACTTCTAGTGTCAGAGCCCAGAACCAGAATACAAACATGCATGTGCTTATCAGAGAAAGAAAGAAAGCAAAAAATTGAAAAAAATTGCTGTTGGCTCTGTTCTTGCAACGTTATCGTTACTCCTTGTCAAGGCAAGGTACACAGAGTGTGGGAGTAGTTGTTATTCATTTTTTAAAGTATATTCTAGAGGTGCACAAATTAGGCGGGCACCTCAATAAATAGTAAATACAGCAATCCTGGTCGAGTCAGATTTAATTCAATCCACATTCTAAATAGTTGAGTCAAATACAGCAGTTCAGGGCGATTTAATTCAATCCCATCCACATCCTAAGTGGTGTGGGCTGCAGCCATTATAATTGATCTTTATGTGGGATTTAACGTCTCAAAACCACCATATGATTATGAGAGACGCCGTAGTGGAGGGCTTGGGAAATTTCGACCACCTGGTGTTCTTCAACGTGCACCAAAATCTGAGCACACGAGCCTGCAACATTTCCGCCTCCGCCGGAAATGTAGCCGCCGTAGCCGGGATTCGATCCCGCGCCTGCGGGTCAGCAGCCAAATACCTTAGCCACGAGACCACCGTGGCGGGGCGTGCAGCCATATAGTAAACTAGGTTATACTCCAGTGGCAGAACCGGCCACTCTCCTGTGTCCTCCTTTTACATGGATGCCACGAGATGGTACCACTGTTACGTTTCCTAGCAACATTGACTGCGTTGTTGGACTATCGCAGGCTCCTTCAAACTTACATCTGCAGTTACTTTTAACTTGTGTCTTTGCTTCCTGGTTCTTCCGAACATCAAACAGCTAAGTTGTTCACTGCCTGGCTCAGGGGTTTTATTTTGGCCAATATAGACCTTTTTTCACATTTACCGCACGCGCTCAGAACATTCATAGTGCATCTGGTAAATATGTTTACTTATTTTATATGGAGCGCCTGATTTTTTTTTTTACCTCTCGAGGGTTTGTTTTCAGTGCACAGAATTTTCTAAGCAGACGTGGTGGTCATGGAATTTGCTTTTAATCATCATGAAAAAACCTGGAAAAGTCGGGCAATTCAGAACTATCAAATTGGTAGACACCCTGCTATAGCACTTAGTTAAAAAAAAAGCGGGCTCACGCGCGCTGGTTAGTTTTTGAAAGACGGTCGCAGTTGCGGTTTCAAAGAGTATCAAATGAGGCGGCACCCAGAATGGTTTCTATGCAAACTCAACTGGCTATAAGAAGACGGGAAAACCACATTCACATGGGCACCTCCCAGACACACTTTTGCAGCGAAGGCCCTAGGTGCATTGCTATGATCCTCTATCAGAGGTTGCAACTATGAGCCGAACTGCCCCTCCCCTCCCCCCGCTTTTCCAGAAAAATGCACTGCCGAGGCAAACTTCCGTGCGAGTCTGCCCCCTTCTTTCCGTTCAAAAGGTCTGCGAGGAGAGAATGCTCACAAGGATCCTGGCAGCTAGCACAAACTTGACACAGGTGGTGGTTCGTCATTTATGCGAAAACTGAAGGCGCGCTTCGGATGTAGTGAGAAAGGTGACATGACACACACTTTAAAATTGTTGATGTTAAAGCCTACACAAATCTATCCGACAAGTTATCACGTCTTCGGTTTCGTGTCAGGGGTCTTTTCAGGAAGCATTGACACCGGCGATTCACAGAAGTCTACAACTGGCACTACCGACCGCGACACCGTTCGTCAACCATGTGATGCTGTTTTTTGTTGTCATCGGCGGTGCTCGCCCGGCTCGTTCCTTGTCGGTCTTCCTCAAACTGGTATGCAATAGACACGATCCACCCTGCGACTGGTGCGTCCGCCACTACATCGCGATAGCCGACGTATCTTTCGGCTCGCGGTTGCGGGTGCGACTGACGCACAGTACCTTAAGCCTTTGGGATTCGCGCATACCCAACGTATCTTTAGACTCCTGGTTTCGCGTACGTCCGATGTACCTTTAGCTTTTAGTATTCAGGTATGTCCAACGTACCTTTAGATATGGGATGTCCTAATTAAACATGAACGGTAGCGCGGAAAAACAAGAACTCTGAAAGAACAAGTAACAACACGAGTGCCAACAACACAAACGTAACACCAACTGGCCTAGCTTCGCATCCTCTAACAGGCTCCTCTTGATTGCTGCATGGTCAAACGTGGCCTTGCTAGTGTTGAAGGCTGTATAGGGTTGGGCTAGTTGTTTCATGTTTATAACAAGCAAGAAAACAGTGCCAAATTTTGTCCTGTCAAACTCAACATATTTGCGCAGTTCAAGAAAATGAATATTTACGGCGTAACTACAGAAGGAAGAGACATGTACAGGAAAGAGCGCAGACTTCAACTAAATTTTATTAGCAAAAACGCTGGAAATATATACACGATAGCAAGCAGCGCACCACAGTCCAAGTGTGCTATTTGTTGCGTCACAGCCAGACACTCAATATTTCGTTAAGTGGGTATAAAGCATGTCCTCATTTTCTTGTGCGGTGCAAATATGTCGATCACAAATCGCCATGTAGCCCAAGCATGTCTTATCAAGTCCTGTCAGAATTTTGCGGTGTCCTTTTTTTTTTTTTTTGCTGGACGTGGCCATTACTGTTCAGATACAACTTCCTTAAAGTGGAGTATTCAGTAAGTCTTGGTTCTAAAACATTTAACTAATGTTTTCTTGTAACATTATCATACCACCCAAACAATAGACCGCTCGCCTTGTGTGTCTATTGTGCAGCCCTCACCGAAAAAAGGATCGTGGGACGACCTTAGTTGAGGCAGGTGCTCGCATTAGTCTGCCACATAATTCAGCAACCTCGCAAAACTCCACATTGGCTGCCAGTGCAACGACCTCCAAACTTGCAATGGGAATAGCACCTTTGTACGCGTTAAAACCATTGCTACAGAACTTGTACATGTGCGTTGTATTTTCAGTTCTTGGTGGCTATATTACAGCAAACTGACCATGACAGTTCTTGTGCACTCGCACTTCAAGTTTTTTTTCTTTTTTTAGGAAAGCCTGCAGGTAAATATTTGTATATAGCATATCCTTGGCTGTTATATCTGCATTCCCTTTGAAGGGACCGACAAGTGGTTTTTTTCGGTCCAGTTTTTCTCGGGTGCGAGAGAAAGTTTGTAGTGTTCATAGCTGCCGTAATTAATCCCAATAGCACTTAGTCGTATAAGCAATATTTTTTATCTAAAAAGCTCTGAACACAGATGAGCCCTTTCATCTAGCAACGCTGAGAATTTACAGCGATGCGGTAGCCTTTTTAGCGACTTGTGCATGCTGTAGTTCTGCTTTCACAGGAGTCTCTGTCACTGTGAAAATAAGCAGTTACAATGAGATGATGTAGCTTTATACAGCGTCTTTGTATTTGTACCGCATTGTGTGCGCCTGCGCCCAAAGTTGTCCCATCGTCGTTACTCTTTCGACACACGAGCCAAGCCATGTTACCGAAAACATTAGCACTGGTATGCACAGCCGTGCTGACTGGCTGTACACGTCAATTCTGAGACAAATTGTAAATAGAAAAACCACGACGCTCTAAAATCTTTGCGACCCGCAAACTGCGCGCTCGGTTTTATCGGCAAGCAGAAAAGTTTCTCAAGATGCACTAATGAGCATGGTTTCTCAAGACGCACTAATGAGCATGGGATGATTACGTCATGCGAAGGCAGCGCCACTTTGATGCGTACTACTAATGCTGGTATATATGTAAATTTTTATGTAGTAATATCTGTTACTATAAAAAAATCAAATAACATTTCGATACTAACTGAGAAATTGTTGAACGTGTACACTAGTTTATGGTGTCACGGGGCCACGGCCGGGCTAGACTGCACCTGCACGCTGAGGCACATTTGGCGGCATTTACTGCCACGAGGTGCTGCCACAGGCTATTTTTGCAATTTTTCTAGAAGGAACAAAAATATGCACTTTTCACAAGAAATATAGGGTTGGTTTCAGTCGCTATGAGGCACAATATTTTCGTCCATGCCGTCATCTCATTTCGTGTTCATTTCGTGGTCCCTTCCCTTTAGTTGCAACATCTCGCTGGTTAGGTCAGGTGAGGGCACGTGCAAGTGTGGAGGTCGCATGTTTCACTAGCTACCTCGAGAAGGCACACTGAGGTGCACTCTATGTAGTGCGATCCTTAAAACACTGGCACAATTCTTACCAGTGAGTTTTATGTGCACGAGGTTTCTTCCTAGTGCTCTTAATGTGGGAGCATCAAGGAGCTAGTTTCTTAGAAACTCCAGTGGCATTGGCAAAGTGAAACTTCGAGGTGGATTCAAAGAAATATAGAAGCTGGAGGGATGTCATTACTTTCTTGCAGCACAGTTTAGTTCTCTTAAGAGCAAAAGCAGGGTAGCTATTGGGAAGGCTATAATATTGTTGCCATGTTCAGCTCTTAAAGGGACCCCGAAACAGTTTTGATGATTCCTTACAAACACATTGGGCCAGGAGACTTATTCTCAAGAGTAATTTACAGACTGAATTAAGCTCTTTGTTTAAACTCTGTAATTCATTACAATGCTTTAAAGCTACGAATTGCTGCTAATCACTGTGGCTCAGCTAGACGCATTTGAAACCACTCATTGACAGCGTGACATCCTCTGGTAGCAGGACGCCGCCCAGACTCTTGATCTAATTGGCTGTGGAATGTGCGGAAGATCGGCTGGTAGTATGGCTGACGCCTGTCGGAGTAGATATTAACCACACCGCGATCATCATCTCTGTTGCCAGACGGTGTGCGTGCTGCCGGGCGCACTGGGCTGTGACAGGCGTCGCCATACTACCAGCCGACCTTCCGCACATTCCACAGCCAATCAGATCAAGAGTCTGGGCGACGTCCTGCTACCGCAGGATGTCATGCTGTCAATGAGTAGTTTAAAATGCGTCTAGCTGAGCCACAGTGTGGTTTTCATGATTCCATGCCTTCTGTCGGCCTGCGATCTCTGAGGCTGTGACTGGGCGAATCTCGCTGTAATGTGTGCTTGGAAGAGCGCTGCGATTGCCAGAGATGTTGGCATGTCTCGGGAGTTGAGGAAAGGCAGTGATGAAGAGGATGGTATAGATATAATTGTTCATGGCGGCCTTCGTACACAGTGTGCAGCTGTATTTGTGGTGTGATTGATTTGATGCTCTAGTGTGAACACTCACAAAAGTTAAACCGTTTTTGGATTTCTTTAGAGAGGAAGCTTAAAGAGCCAATAAACTACCCCGAGGTCCAGAAACTGCTATGAAGAGAAATGTGCACACTTTTGCTATGTGCATATGTTGCCGCAAGGATTATCCGAATACGTGCTATAATAAGGAAGTCGCAGGGGTTCGAACATCCATTTCACTGCCTCACCACCCTTCTCTGCCATAGGGAGGGGAAAGGCGTAGCCCATCGTCACTGACTTCGCCAACTTCAGCAATTTGATGTGACGTTCAAAAATATTACTGAAATTTTTACCACCACAGTTGCTGACTTCACAGAACTTGCACATGGCTCTTCATAGGGTTAATCAGTGGAAGAGAACTGGTGTTCAGCTAGTCAGCCAGTTGAAATTAAGTGGTTACCACCAGGTCAACCAGTTCAACACTTGCAGCATGCTCTCTTTACAACTAGAATGTTTCCTATAAAGGCTCTGCTCCAATTGGAAAGTCTTTTCCAATTCGGATGTGCACATTCCAATCGGGAGGCCAATAGGAATCAGCTCTTCCAATTGTGTACCAAGTGGTATGTGTGCAACCAATTGGACTGACAAGCATTCCAATTGAGAGACCAATCGAAAACTGGTGGACCTATTGGAATGACCAATCGGAATTGTGTGATCCAATAGGTCCTTCACATTGAAGCGTTATATCCCAGTTGGTTTCCAATTCATTCCATTTTGGATCCGATTGCTAGGAACTGGTATAAATAATTGGACCCATTCACTTTTTTTGAATGGGTGGAGCAATCGCTGGCTAGTGGCATGTTTGCATGTAATGGTAGCAAAAAGGTAGTAACAGCATGTGAAAGTCTGTTCTGTGGCTTATGGTATTCACCAGCCTTGTACTATTCTGCACTGTTCATCTGCACCTCTTTTGGCAAGATGCTTTCTGCAAACTTGAGGAAACGTGCTTGTACACTGTGCCCGTGGAATGAAACCTGATAATTTAGGGCTAAGCAGTGCAAATGCCTCTGTTTCTACTGTCTTCAGCTTTTATCATTGCAGTATAATTTAGACTCGAGTGCTCACGTAATCTAACTTTACCTTTAATGTTCATATTTGTCGCGACATGGCTTGGTCATTTTGAGCCATACTAGTCGTTATGCTAAATGTTTAGATTTTACATTTTAACCCGTGAACACTTTAAAGAATATGCTTGGGCAGTATGCTCTCACACAATATACTTCATTGCAAGTTTGCTCTGGTATTTGCACATGACTCACCTTTCTGCTTGCAAAAATGCTGAATGTCTTGCGTAAAAGTATTTCTCGCGGAAGGATTTTAACATTCATCATATGTAATATGTAACACCATTAAATTGTGGATTCGTTGATGAAATTGCCTGCTTTTCAGAGGCTGTCGAACGAGGGCCCGTAAGTTGGATCAAGGCGAAGATGCTGGTTCAGCTCCGCCGCAGGACCTTGGTCAAATCCCTGCTGCATTGGACACCACTACTAGGCGTACAGCCCGGTTGAAACACTCGTAGGTTTCTTCATTGAAAGCTCTATCTATGTTAGTTACCACTAGAGGATCTTTTCGGTGCTCTCCTGTCAGTGGTCTTCCTTCCACAGCTTATTTTAGAAGCTCACCTCGTGTTTAATTTGGCGTGTTCTGAACACGCATTTGATGCAAGTTTTTCTCTGCAAAGCAGTTCACCACAGCTGCAGGCATGAGCAATGAAAATTATCGAAAGGCGCATGTTCTTTTAGTCTTCCTTATTTGCAGAAGCATTAAAAATTGCTGTAGCACAGCAGCCACCGTGATGCAGAGGTGGAAGTGCTGCACTAGTCTGAAGCAGGACGGCGCAGCAAAAGCAAAGTGCTTTATTGCGCCGAGACTGCTCCTAAGCAGACTTTGGTGCTTTCATGTGCCGTTGTCATTCGTGACATGGCTCGAGCAAGCGAGCCCCTACTATCATCTTCAACATGGCGTGCTTTTGCGTGCAGCTGTGATGCTGATGGTGGTGCGAAAAAGCTAGCTAACGGTAAAGGGTAGGAGACAGCTAGCTACAGTAAATAAAGTGGTTGTTCAGCCATTTTTTTCTTTCTTACAATGGTGGAGACAGAGTTTTGTGAACACTTCACTTCTCTCCCCTTTTCAATCGTATGTGTAACCTGGTGTACTGTCAATCTGAACATTGTAAAAAAAAGAAAGGATGCTAAGGAATAGTTGGGTTTAACTAGGCAGTGCATTGAATGTCTTTATTTTCCTTTTGGACATCATGTCGGCTATGAATTTTTAAAGAGAAAGGGTACTGACACAAAATATTGTGGGTGAGACAGCCTGCAGAAACGATTCCCGTGAACATGCGCATGTCATCTCCAAATTATCAACAGCAAATATAGCTTCGAAGGTGTTTTAAATAATTTTGAAGTTTGCATAATCAATGGACTTTATCACGCTATTGACACCCTCGAAGAGGACTCTTGGGGACTCCCTACTTCCTTAGCGTGACAAAGCTGCAGCAAGTTACGATGACATCATAGCTTCTTTTGCTCCAAGAGATTATATTTCAGCAGCTGCTCGAGAGTCCATGGCCATGGCGCACAAGTTGAGTTTTGTGTTTGATTACATTAATGTCTAGTTTCCTGGTCGAAAAAACTTTTTGATCTGATCAGCACAGAAGTGCTTCGCAGCTCTGTGTTCTGACATGGTCAAATGTTGCACCAACTCGGTGGTCATGGACGCACCCGGTGGCTTGTCGTTTTTGATACCGAAACTGACACTGGTTAGCAATACTGAGCCTTTAATTGTGTCGCGCGCTGCCAAAATCTGTCTCGTGTTATAGCTAACAGGGCCCCAGGAACACATTACAGAAAAAAAAAAAAATACGAGGCCATAATTTTTGTGTCAGTACCCCTTTAAAATTCATATTACTGCAAAATTTGTATCAACCATAATCGTATCCTAGAGATTCTACTGGTTTAAAGCATGCAAAAGTGCATTACTAATTGCAGTATAGACCGCTAATAAAATAAGTCGCGGGAGTCTTGAATATCCGCTCTATAAGCGGTACCACACTATAACTAATACTATCTATTTTTTTTTTCAAGGGCCGTACTTGCGTAAAACGTGTATACTGTGCAGCCTCGAGAGTCCAAGAATCGAAGCATGTGATGCGCAGTGCATACAAGCATATACATTTCCAAATAAAAAAAATTAACTTCCAAAGATACGTGCTTCTAATGTGATGAATGCGAAAAGGGGGGGGGGGGGGGGGGGTCTAACTAAAGAAAGCACCATCACAGAACTTCGCAGACTACTTCTCAGACTGCCTCTATTAGTCGCATTACAAAGAAGCTATGTTGAATTGTGTCCAGAACTTCACGCGCCGAAAGACTTCAATCGTTCAATTTCACGGGCGCGCACCCGATTTCAAAAATCGCAGTCTGATCGTGAACCACCAATCGAGTGCTACACGTGCCACACTCGTTTTATTAACTATATGTATCGCTTCCCATGAAGTGCAGCCACCACAAAGAGTTTCGTTAATTCCGTACCAAACCACAACCTACAAATGGCAAGTAACCACCAGCCCCCTCACCCCTCTTGAAATTTTTTTTGGTGCTGGGGGGGGGGGGGGAGGGGGGGGGAGTGGCTACTCGATTTACTGTCGTCACTGTCTTCACTTTCAGACACAAGATAAATTCAGTGATACCTCGTTAACTCGAAGTCTTAAAAACCAGGGGAAATTTCGAGATAAGCAAGGTTGTGCTAATTGCCGGGAAAAATGAAAGCTTTTCAGAAAAGTGCTACTGCTTACTGGCTCTTCAGTGGCAGTTTCGAATTTTTCTTCTCGTGCGGGTTTAAAAAAGATAAAAATAACATACAAGACTTTAACCGGCTGGGTTTTGCCGCACTGCCATTTTATTTAGTAGAGAAAAACTGCCCAATGCTCGTCTGCTTTGCAGTCATACTCTGGCCTAGCAAAAAGTCCTCCAGCTGCTTGACAAAGGGTTGCTTGACAAAGGGTTGCTTGACAAAGGGTTGCTTGATAAAGTTGATATGTCACTGGGCTGAGAAATAGCAAACTTCTTGTTCGCGGAAAGTAATGATGTAGTGACAGGCTCGGATAAATAAGAAAAAAAAGTACTGACTTCAGGCGTGGCAGTATCACGCGAATCTTGTGAAATGGCCTGGCAAGTTATCTGCAAGCTGACTCAAAAATACTTCAAGATAAAGGGAAAAATGTACATGGGACGTATAAAAAAAATGTTCGGTGCCGCGAAAAACTTCAACCTAGCTGATTTTTCGCAATGGGCGAGTTTGAGGTAGTTAGTAGTTAGGTATTACTGTATATTATGGGCAGAAACAGCGCACAAACTCACTGGACGAAGAGAAGAGACACAAACAAGCGCTGCAGGATGGCTTCAGTCTTGCTTCAGTTTATTAATGTATATGTACCCAAATTGTCATCACTCAAAGATCACGATAATGAATAGCGTCTTTTTTGTGTTCAAGGGCCGGCTGTGCATTGGTTGCAGCCATTCTTGCAGTCTTTTCATACATAACCATGTTCATGTCGCAGTAGACAACTGCATCCTCTAGCGAATGCTGCCATGTAGTTGATGACGCACAATGTACGCTGTAGAGGTACGCTTCTTTGTCTGAACGCTAGAGGGCGGTACCTATTCTGCTAGGAGGAGTTCTGCTCGTCCAAATTAGTTTGGGGACAGTTAGGGCAGGATGAGCCCTGCTCGTCTAAAGTAGCTAAAAAGTTTAAGGGTCGCCCGTTTTTGCTTGTGCAACACTTTCCCGCACATAAAATAATTTATCAATACCCCCCTCCCCCCTCCACTTTTCAAATAGCCATGGAGCCATACCTGTCTAGTGGCATGTTTATATGTAATTGGAGCAAGATGGTATTAAACAAGATCTGAAACATTGTTTTGTGGCTTTTGATATTCACCAGCCACTTGTACTATTATGCACTATTCATCTGCACCCCTTTTGCCGAGATGCTTTCTGATGATTGATATGTGGGATATAACGTCCCAAAACCACTATATGATTATGAGAGACGCCGTAGTAAAGGGCTCCGGAAATTTAGACCACCTGGGGTTCTTTAACGTGCACCCAAATCTGAGCACACGGGCCTACAACATTTCCGCCTCCATCGGAAATGCAGCCGCCGCAGCCGGGATTCGAACCCGCGCCCTGCGGGTCAGCAGCCGAGTACCTTAGCCACTAGACCAACGCGGCGGGGCGAGATGCTTTCTGCAACCTCTGCGAACTGAAGGAAGCTTACTTGATATACTGTGCCCATGGACTGACGATTTGGGGCTAATTAATGCACAAAACTTTGTTTTTACTGTTTTCTGCTTTCATCATTCCAATGTAATTTCGATTCGAGTGCTTGCATTATATACAACTTTGCCTCCATTTATCAGATAAGTAGTGACAAGACTTATATTTTGACATAATGACTAGTATTGCTCAAGATATCTATCTGTGAGCACTTTACATTTGTGAACATGCTTGGGCAGTATGCTCACACACAATGCTTAAGGGCAAGTTTGCTCTGGTATGTGAATATAGCTCACCTTTCTCCTTGCACAAATGCTGAATGTCTTGTGTAAAAGTATTTTTCATGGAAGGACTTAAACATTCAGGGTACCAATAAATGACCCTGTTGAATTGTGGGTCAATGTGAATGCAGCCATTTGTGGGCTGTATTCGTAATTTTGGAAAAAGTTCTATGTAGCATCCAAGTACTTAGGAGTAGTAACGAGATATGTGGACAGGGATACTGAAAAAAAAAAAAAAAATGGGACAGGATGGACGCCACAGATGATATGATGGTGCAGCAGGTACTCCATCTCGCAGAGAAGCCAAATGGCCACAAGTAATGCCAGCAGGCCCAGATGTGACCACAGCAGGCGGAATCGCGGTCATGTGAGTTTGAGCTGTCGGTGTCATCGTGGAGGTTACATCAACGTATGTGGGCAGCGGCCTTGCTGGTGGAGCGACCGGCGCTGTCTGTGTTGTGATGGTTGCCAACTCCTGCTTTTCAAGATTCCATAGGTTAAAGGGTGTGGGTGGAGTTGAGACAGCAGTGGAGACCACTGCTGTTCCATGCGTCAAGGTTCTTCTCAGATAAGAGCTTTCAAATAGGAACGAGGCATAAGGCAAGGATCGCTGTTTTGTTGAAGGTGGGGGGAACTGCCACTGGTGAAGGCATTGGCATGTCAAAATGACGTTTTCAACAGCAGTTGGATTATAAAGAGTGAAGGCATTGAATGCAATCGTGCTGATTCTATTAAGGATGTGGTGAATGCTGCTCTGCTTCCATCGTATCGCTGTTAGGATGGTTACGCAGGGCCAAAACATCCTCGATATACAAAGTGTAGGACTCATATGCAAGTTGAACACACGGGGCCAGCTTCTCTTTTGCAGTTTCTGAAGGGCCTGGTGAGCCATCTGAAGATCTGTTGCAGCTTAGTGGCAAAGGTCAACCAATTGACAAGGTCAGTTTCTTGGTT